TTCACTCTCATTTTTCTTCTTTTGCACCCAGTTCAAATGGTAGAAAAAGAGATGAGTGCATGGGAGAAAAGGGAGTGCAAAAATTACTTCACTAAAATAAAAGCGGACTCCAGCTTACATTAAACTCAAAGCGTCGTGTTGTTTGCGAGAAACAAGACGGTAAAGCCCCGTTAAGTATGATTAGCATGAGCATTAATACACTATAATGCTGGCTCAAACTCTCCATAACTAAAACCTGAGAGCGGGCTCAGGACTCACTCTTTCTGTATAACGTATACTGCATGCACCAGTTGAGTTTTACCAAAACTTCCCTGCAAACTACCCCTTTATATACATGCTAAAATTGAAGAAAAAGTTCTTTATGCTAATAAATTTAAGTAAAGAAATATTTTGGTGACGCTAGATGAGTAGGTGAGGAGGGGTCGAGACACTGAACATGTCAAATTGAGTTTTTGAAAAGGTGGAAATTTGTTTGAAACCTTGGCTGCTAATAATGCAGTTCATAACTATTTGTTCAAACCTTTCTAAAGATAATTAAGTATTAATTATTGGGATTTTTTTCCACTAATTATTTGGCCAAACCTTTGTAGATTAAGAACTAAGAGCCGACTAAACCTTTATAAAGATAAGGTTTTTAGCCAAAATGGTTCTTGAGATTTGCATAACTCTTCACCTTGGTCCTTGAACTTTGAAATCCATAGAAGTAGCATCTGAGTTCGTCCACCATCAATTATTTTGGTTCTTTCGTGAAAAATTATGTTATACAAGGACCAAAATGACAAAAAATACCCTCAATTTAAAAAACAACGAGCCAAAATGATTTGAGAAAAACTTAGGGTGTTTTTGTCATTTTATCCTTGTCTAATGAAGATTTTCACATAATGACCAAAATGATTGATGGTGGACAAACTCAGGGACCACTTCCATCAATTTCATATCTCAATGATCAAATTGAGGAGTTTTGCTAATCTCATAAATTATTTTTGGCTAAAAAAGCCTAAAGATAATTATATTAATTTTTTGTTTTATTTGTCATTTTGTTATCCACCGTATTGTCTTTTCCTTCATCATTTGGTTCTTAATGGGTAGAAATTTGGGTCCCAAAAAAGATGGGTGGGTAGGTGTAGAAGCTATGATTGAAGAGAAGGAAGCTTGGACTAAACCAGTAGTATCTTTTTGCATTTCGCAAAACAGCACAGATTCGTTGTAGTTTCAATTAGTTCAAAGGTGTGACTTGTTTGGTTAGACCATTGCAATTTGCAGGCATGTGGCAAAGATTGCAGCATGAAGATTATAGAATATACATTTTAGTCAAAATGTTCTTTGAAATTAACATAATTTCTTATTTAATTCCTGTAATTTGAAATTGATAAAAGTAGTCTCTCAATTTGTCGACTATTAATCATTTTAGTCCTTGTAATTTGAAATTCATAGAAGTAGTCCCTGAGTTTGTCAATTGTCAATCATTTTGGTCATTTCATAAAAAAAAAATCTATTATATAAGGATCAAAATGACAAATAGCTCAACTCAAAAAACAAAACAAAAAAACTAAAATGATTTGACAAAAAATTGAGGGTGTCATTTTGGTCCTTATTTAATGCTGATTTTTCATGGAATGACCAAAATGATTTATGGTAGACAAACTTAATGACCATATGTCACATCCCGGCCCGGCCCCCCACCATATCCCAGGCTCGACTCCACCGTAGTATGATATTGTCCGCTTTGGGCTCCGACCACACCCTCGCGGTTTTGTTTCTGAGAACTCAGACGAGAACTTCCCAGTGGGTCACCTATCATGGGATTGCTCTCGCGCGCTCCTCGCTTAACTTCGGAGTTCCTATAAAACCCGAAACCAGAGCTCCAAAAGGCCTCGTGCTAGGTAGAGATGAGAATATACATATACAAGGCTTACAGGATCCACTTCCCTGGACGATGTGGGATGTTACAATCCAACCACCTTAGGGGCCCAACGTCCTTGTCGGCACACTTCAAGTCAAGGATTGGCTCTGATACCAAATTGTCACATCCTGGCCTGAGCCTCTGCCACATCCCGGGCTTGACTCCATTGTAGCACAATATTGTCCATTTTAGACCCCGACCACGCCCTCACGGTTTTGTTTCTAGAAACTCACACGAGAACTTCCCAGTGGGTCACCCATCATGGGTTTGCTCTCGCGCACTACTCGCTTAACTTTGGAGTTCCTACGAAACCCGAAGCTAATGAGCTCTCAAAAGGTTTCATGCTAGGTAGAGATGAGAATATACATAGAAGGCTTACATGATCCACTCCCCTGGACGATATGAGATGTTACACCATGTTTATCGATTTTAAATTTCAAAGACAAAAATAAGGAATTATCCTAGCCTAGTGCACCATTTTAAATGAAAAGCCTCATACATATGTATAAAAGTATAATTCTTTTGTTTCTTAGTCCCTTCACCAACTAAAGGTGAGCTAGCTAGCTAGCTAACTTAAATTATTTTTTTCCTCCAATAGATATGGTGAGGATGGAGATATGGAGGACAAACACCAACCATTTGATGAGGAGGGTGCTAAAGGAATCATACCAAAAGAAAATAATAAATAAATAAGTAAAAAGATGCCAAATGATGCTGTAGATATGATGTAGATGGGGGTTGGTTGAGTTTTGGAAATTTGTATATTAGTAATTGATGCCACTATATTGAGGCTACTTGTGGAGAAAATTTGGCTTGTAATTGGTGGTATTATCTTTTATTTAGTATTCTTCTCGTCATGTGATATTTTTTTTTTTTATATAAATTTTTGCATATACAATTATTTATTATGTTTGAAACATCTAATGGTGAATCCAGAAGTTTTTTTTCCTTGTGGCAAGATGTAGCTTAAATCCGCATCACTTTTTTCTCTTCTTGCCCAACATTCCAAATTCACTCCACAGTGCCCATTCTTGGCGTACCTTAATCCTCACAACAAACGTTTATCAAATAGGTTGCCCCCATATCAACTATAATCGTTCGTAAAAAAGTATGGAACACCATGTATAGCAAAGAGGGTGAGTAGCTAGGACCATACTAAACGAAGTGGAGAGAACTTGGGATGAATATGGTAGTAACAAGGGCGGTAGGGGAGATATCCATCACTTGTCCTCACGCGAATCCGCTGCTAGAACCATAGCCTACTAAAAGCCAGGCACTAGTTGATCAAAAACACTAAAAGCCAGGTCCTGGAAGAACTTGAGATTAAGCATCTTGTACTAATTAATTTTCTGTCCTTTTCAATCCCATACATCTTTCAGAAGCTATATGAACATAGTTTAATGTAATTAGGGCAACAAATTGCCAATTTTCACACGGTCCCTTGGAAGAATCTAACATGTTATAAGATGCTTCTATACAGTAAGGTAAACCTAAATCATTTCGCATTTTCTGTAAGTGTATTTGTATTTCTGATTTTCTGCATATACTGCCATGCATTACTGAGATGTGCATCAACTTCTTTTCTTGGTCAAGATTGGCAAACTGCGTTTGTTTACAAGTTTTTCTGTAAGTTGATCGTGTAAGTCGCGATATGAAGTCAGCTTCTTCCTTTGTAGAAGCACCACGTAGTGTAGTACTAATAAATGATAATAATACAAAAACAACAAAGATTTATCTTACTGAGTGTGATCGGCTGTATGAATTCTAAAATGTCATTACGCTCGATTTTGCGATTTTTTTTGTTAACTCTAAATATTCTAAGTCTTTTTTAGAAGTTTCTTCCAAGTCTTCTCTTGGAATTTTCTTCCAAGTCTTCTTAGGTCTTCATTTACTCTTTTGCCCTGAGCTGCTTATCTCATAATCGCACATTCTATTATGAGACAGAGGCTTAAGGCAACAGGAGTAAAGAATGACTCAGAAATAGAGTACTTGAAACTAACAGAAAACTTGATGCAAAACCTAGTACATTAGTGTTCTTGGATTCGTAATATTAAAATAGTAATAATAATTACCAAATATGATAATTGGCTAAAAGATAATAGACATTTCGAGTTATAAAAAATCTATGAAGTAGTTGACCGACTTTGACTTTAAAGCAACTGGATTGTATTACTAACACGAGGAATATTATGAAATCAAGCATTGTAGTCAGGATAAGGAAACTACAAATTCTTTACATTTAGAAATATATGTCAACCCTCAAACCTAAAGCCAAAAGCTTTGCCTGGATGTGATGTGAGTCCTCATCAACTAGACATTCCACTCAAATTTTCCACAACGTACTGTGAAGCTGTAGGTCCCAATTTCAAAAAACTTTTATTAGGTCTACTAGGCATGTTTATGCTAATCAAGTGAAATTTTAGCTTAAAATAGTATGATAGTTTCTTCAATTAGATAAATCTTCGGCAAGCAACATGATCACATCTGTTGTTCAATTAACCTCGCAAAAAAGGAGATCTGTAGATCCGATTTATGTTGATCTCACGCATGTAAGAGAGCTGCTTTATTTCGCTATGTGACAATTATACTCTAAAATCTCTCATTCAATTGAATCCCATTTTTATCAAGGTTAAAATCCATGTAAAGGACAAGTAGAACTTAGGGCAAGTTTGGTAGGCTGGTTTGGATTGGTTTGAATGGGACTTGAGTATTGGATTGTGCTGGCTTGGACAAGCTTGGAAACTCATATCTAAGTTGTGTTTCTAAATCTCACTTATTTTGGATTTAGATTTGAGATTCAAATTTGATTCGTGATACGCTTAATTCTGACAAACACAAGACTCGTGTTCAATTTAATTGGATTTCTCTTATCCAGTCCGGTCCACCAAACAAGCCCATAAAAGCGGATGAGGATCCTCTCCGAATTCTCTCACATCTTATCCGTTCACCGTTCATTGTGCGGTTAATATTTAATTTTAAATATAAAAAAAATCATAATGATTTATGACCGCATATTGTAAAATAAACAAATAGGAGATGAGAGATCCTCACAAAGAGGATCCGGATAGGATCCAAATCCCTTAAAAGCTGAACCAACTAACTAGATAATTAAAAAGGAGGGCCAAAATTCTAAATTACTCAATTCGTAGGCAATCAAACTCCATTCTTTACGTTTTGCATGCCGAGGAGAAGCAAATTTTGAAGGGAGACAATGCGCGGGAGTTATAGTTTCAGACCGTTGCACAGCGGCAGCGGCAACTTCTGCTCCCGGTCATTCAAATCCCAGCAACCCATCAACATCAAGGACCGAACAGGAAATCCCACTTCTCAAAATCCAATCCCATCGAAGAAAACACTAACCCAGAAACGCAGATCCATGAACAAGTTATCCAACTCCTACGACTCCGAAATTGTGAAATCGAACATGGACATCACCACCCACATGCGCAACGGCCGATGCGAAGCCGCTCTGCTTGTCTTCAACGCCATGCCCCGGCGGAGCCCCGTGTCCTATAACGCTATGGTATCTGGGTACCTAGCAAATGGCAAGTTTGATCTTGCAAAGGACATGTTTGAGAAAATGCCTGAGAGAGACCTGGTTTCTTGGAATGTGATGCTTAGTGGGTATGTGAGGAACAGGAATCTTGGTGCCGCTCGTGCCTTGTTTGAACGAATGCCCGAGAAGGATGTTGTTTCGTGGAATGCTATGTTGTCGGGTTATGCCCAGAACGGGTATGTTGATGAGGCGAGGACGATTTTTCAAGGGATGCCGGATAAGAATGAGATTTCGTGGAATGGGTTGCTTGCAGCGTATGTGCAGAATGGAAGGGTAGAAGATGCTCGTAGGTTGTTTGAGTTGAAAGCAGATTGGGAAGCAGTTTCTTGGAATTGTTTGATGGGTGGGTTTGTAAAACAAAAGAGATTGGTTAATGCTAGGCAGCTTTTTGACCAGATGCCTGTGAGGGATGAAGTTTCCTGGAATACCATGATCACGGGATATGCGCAGAATGGGCAAATGTCAGAAGCTAGGAGATTGTTTGAGGAGTGTCCAATTCGGGATGTGTTTGCATGGACATCAATGCTTTCGGGTTATGTGCAGAATGGAATGCTGGATGAAGCAAGAAGTATCTTTGATGAAATGCCAGAAAAGAATTCGGTTTCGTGGAATGCAATGATTGCAGGTTATGTACAATGCAAGAGAATGGACATGGCAACGAAATTGTTTGAGGCAATGCCTTCTCGGAATGCCAGTTCATGGAATACCATTTTAACTGGCTATGCTCAGAGTGGTGATATTGTTCGTGCCAAGTTAATCTTTGATAGCATGCCTCGGCGCGATTCCATCTCTTGGGCGGCTATTATTGCTGGTTATGCTCAAAATGGTTATAGTGAAGAGGCTTTGCAACTCTTTGTAGAGATGAAAAGAGACGGGGAAAGGTTGACTAGGTCTTCCTTTACCTGTGCTTTGAGCACCTGTGCTGAAATTGCAGCTTTGGAGTTGGGGAAGCAATTGCACGGCCGTATGACAAAAGCAGGATACGAAACTGGGTGCTATGTGGGGAATGCACTACTTGTAATGTACTGTAAATGTGGAAGCATTGAGGAAGCATATGACGTTTTCCAAGGAATAGCTGAAAAGGATGTTGTCTCTTGGAACACGATGATCTATGGCTATGCAAGGCATGGATTTGGCTTAAAGGCACTTAAAGTTTTTGACTCAATGAAGGCGGCGGGTATCAAACCAGATGATGTAACAATGGTAATTGTTAATTCATTGACCTTATTGATTTGAACTCCTCAACGTCGTCTAATGGTTTATTTTTCTTTTGATTCCATTTCAGGTTGGCGTGTTGTCTGCTTGTAGTCATACTGGTCTGGTAGACAGGGGCACCGAATATTTTTATTCAATGAATCAGGATTATGGCATAACAGCAAATTCAAAACACTATACCTGCATGATTGACCTTTTAGGTAGAGCAGGGCGCTTGGAGGAAGCGCAGAATTTGATGAGAGATATGTCTTTTGAACCTGATGCTGCAATGTGGGGAGCTCTGCTTGGTGCAAGCCGGATTCATGGCAATACCAAGTTAGGTGAAAAGGCTGCTAAGATAATTTTCGAGATGGAGCCTGAAAATGCAGGAATGTATGTTCTTCTCTCGAATTTATATGCAGCTTCAGGCAGATGGGGCGATGTCAATAAGATGAGATTGAAGATGAGGGATAAAGGTGTCAGGAAAGTACCTGGATATAGCTGGGTTGAAGTCCAAAACAAGACTCATACATTTTCAGTTGGGGACACTATACACCCTGACAAGGACAAGATATATGCCTTCTTAGAAGAGTTAGATTTGGAAATGAAGCGGGAGGGGTATGTTTCGTCTACAAAGCTGGTTTTGCACGATGTGGAAGAGGAAGAGAAAGAGCATATGCTGAAGTATCACAGCGAGAAATTAGCGGTGGCATTTGGGATTCTTTCGATTCCAGCTGGGAGGCCAGTCCGCGTGATAAAGAACTTGCGAGTTTGTGAAGACTGCCATAATGCCATCAAGTACATATCCAAGATTGTGGGAAGGACAATAATCCTAAGGGATTCCCACCGCTTCCACCACTTCACCGGAGGTAATTGTTCATGCGGGGATTACTGGTGAGAATCGATGACTTCATTGTGATGAAGAAAAGAAAATTGAGGATTCTATTGCAATTACTCTCCGTTCTTTGAAAAAGTCCGTCAGATCATCCCTGCTCCCGCCATTGGTGCTGTATTTACAGTGTGCGCAAGAGAAAACTTGTTAGTCTACACCTCAGTGAAGTGATGAGAAATCGGAGTGGCAAGCGAAAGTTCGATCGAGGAGAAATACATCCCAGTGATGAACATTTGAAATGATTAGTTAGAAGCGGCTTGATAATTTTGCCATGTTACAACTTACAAGTGAAACCGAGGTGGAGGGGTGAATTGGTTAAAGAGCATTCAAACCTTGGACGAGGTCCCGAGTTCGATTCCCCCTCCACCAACATCGTTTGTATAAAAAAAAAAAAAGGATAACGAGTTCGATTCTCTCTGTAAATGCATAATGAGGTGGTAGAGCGGATGTGTTCACCTGTGAACCCGTGTTTGAATTCTCCCACCCATAATTTAGATTAGTCTTGGCGTAGAATATTGCTCGTGTCAAAAATTGAAAAACTAATAATAACATACGCTATATTTCCATCAATTTTGTTTCTATTACATATCACACAATCATTAAACAACGGGAAAAATACATAAAATAAAATAAGTAATAATAATAATATAAAAAAAAGTCTTGTCCGTGAAACGGCCTCATTTTAAATTCCGCACAGGCCCCTAGACTCTCAGAACCGCCCCGGACTTACAGCAGAGCAATTTCCTATGTGTTGTGCTTACACAACGAAGGAAAAATAAATCGACGAGTCCTCCTAAATGGTGTTAGCTTCTAACTGAAAATAACATATATGTATTCGGTTTCGAATGTTGATTGTTACAGAGCACCCTTTCTACTAAATACGGGGAAAGGAGGCGGACCACAAGGTTGCACCTGTTTTTTTTTTTTTCTAACACAGATCGATGAAGAAGCTCAGGCGCGAAGAGCTTGAACCTTTTGGGTCAAACCATCAACTGACTCGTCGTTGATCTCCGCAATTGCTCCCTCCTGTGGGAAAAAAAATGTAAGCATCCATATAAGCATTTTACACAACAGATCCATCATATATTAGTAGCCCGGAATGGATTGATTAAAACAAGTATAAAGAGAAAAGCAACAAAATACCATTACTAACGTTTTTATCACAATTCCAAACTTAGTTTTTTATATCTGTTAATTATGCTTAGTTACTTGAACTTCCAAAACGCATGGAATTTCGAATATCACGTAAAGTATGATTGCTCACTCAAGTTTTTTGAGACACTTTGATTTTCAGACAACTAGCGACCTTTTTTTAAGTGTAACGGAGATCTATCACCAAATTGTATGCAAGATGCCTGAGTCATGATCAAACAGGAGGAAGTGAGGTACATATGAAATGATGCTACTTACCTCTGAATCTTCTTTCGGTTTTACACCTATACACTTGGAAGCACTAATGCTAGCACTCTTCAATAGGCTACGACTGGTTACTGGTGTGTAGACTGTCTTGCTAGGTCCATTCTGTCCATCAGCATTTACGGTGCCATCAGGTTGCTCCGGCCCTGGAGGACTCTCAAGAGTTGAGGCAACAGAAGCAGCAGTCCTTTCCAAATCATTGTCGTGGCCAGCATTCTCAACCTTGGGTCCACAAACCCGCTCTCTAAGGAATAAGACGTCACAGTAATTAAGATGAACTAATAAGGTAGAAGCTAGAAGCGATTTGATTTGTTCCTCAAGACATCTAAATCAAACTTAATCCCTAAATGCTTATCCAAAAACATACCTGGGCAAGGAAGCATGTTGCCTTTGCAGTGGAGGGGTACCCCTTTCACCTTTACCATAGTTCTCCTCGAAATGTGCAAACTGCCGCTTAAATCGATCAACCCCACTAGAATGACATAAGGCGATGATACAAGGTTAATAACTCCAAGAACCAAAAATTCAGACTGGAGACTTATAAAGCGAAGTGGTGAATGAAAAACTACTATTATCTATATCTAGATAAACTCAAGGTTTTTGTTTTTTGTTTCAGCCCATTGGCCGGAACACATAACAGGGAGTGGCCCGTCCGGGAACCAATAGCCTCCTCACCTAGGATACATAAAGCTGGTCTGATCTCCACCTCGGAGATACTCCTGCAGCATCTGTGGATGATACTCCAAAATCTGTTTCAACACAATATATGTTATAGCAATAGTGAAGCAGAAGAAACCACAATGCTAGAAATCAAACAAGTATTAACCTTTAAGTCCATACCTCCCTATAGATTAACTCTCTAACATCATCTTTTGTCAACTTCCTTCGTTCAAACTCAAACTCAAGTTTTGAAATGGGTTGGGTGGACGGCTCACGGTCAACATTTGCCAAACCATGAAAGTAAGGATCAGCTAATGCCTGCAAGCGTAAGCATTAGGGATTTATGAGGCACTGTGATCCCAATCAGTTTTGAAGGATGCATCATGGTATGCAGTATATATCACAAATGTTGCATGTACTCAAATTACTTAACCTTACCTCTTCAGCTGTCAGACGATCCTTTGGATCAAAGGCAAGGAGCTGCTCCAGTAAGCGAAGAGCCAAGGGATCAACACCAGGGAACTTATGTGTGAAAGGAACTGGTTGTTTTTTCCGCATGCTACTCAGGTACCTTCTTGCCTTTTCATTCCGAATCTGCCAGGGACATGAAAAAGTAATTATTTGATGAAACAAATAAGAATTTGGCAGTTACATGCAAGAATATGGATGGTTTACTACAAGAATTGTAAGAACAAAGTAAACTGAGAAGTTCAGTGGCAGCCTGCTAAAAGTTTTATTTTTTTTATTTGGCCAGCACGAGAAATAATTACTGCGTCTTTTGATGACAGAGTAGTAGTTATTAGAATAAAATAACTGACCCTTGCAATAGATTCTGCAGAAGGCGTGCCAAGCAAATCGGTCATGAGATCCAATTGGTGCACCACATTTTTACCAGGAAACAGCGGTTTGCCAGTGAGTATTTCCGCAAATATGCATCCTATGCTCCAAATATCAATTGCAGGAGTGTACTGCCAAAATTATGGTGATAGACAATAAATCTACAGTCGATAATAAAGAATCATCTTATCCTCCAATAGATACATATATACAATATAAGATCTTAGAAATGAAGCGTAGCTTACCTTTGAGAAAAATGAACCGCACAGCTCAGGAGCACGGTACCATCGAGTTGCAACATAATCCTTCACAAAAGTAAGAAGCTTAGTCCACAAGCAGTATTGTTTATAGGCCTAGTGTTTGCAACTTATAAATTAAAGAAATCAACGACTTCTAATTAGCAACCACAAAAGTAGAGATTTTAGGAGTTGTGTGGAGTCATGCCATGATTGGCACAACTGAACAACTTACTGTCCAAAAAATAGCAGACGGGGCATCATTGAAAGATACACGAGCAAGGCCAAAGTCACATATCTTTAATTTGCAGTCAGCATTAGCAAGAATGTTTTTTGGCTTTAAATCTCGATGAAATACATTTGCTACAAGATACAGAGGAAATTTAATTATTAATTATCGTCACTATGGCAAAAGCCAAAAGAAATTACTGAAAAATACAAACCTGTATGAGTATACTTTAGGCCACGGAGAAGCTGGTACAAGAAAAATTGATAATGTTCAGGAGTAAGATCATCATTTGCCTTAATAACTTGGTGAAGGTCAGATTCCATCAACTCAAAAACAACATAAATATCTCTGAACTCTCGTCGTGAAGGAGGAAGCATAATGTGCTTTATTTCAACAATATCAGGATGACGAAGCAAGCGAAGGAGCTTAATTTCTCTCAGGATCCTTGTAGCATCCGAAACATGCTCGAAAACATCATTAATTTTCTTGATTGCAACCTTTTCTCCAGTGTGCGTGTCAATTGCAGAACCCACGACGCCATAACTTCCTTTCCCAATGACTTCCTGAACCTGGTATCGACTTCCCTCTCCATACTCGGTGAAGAATTCTGTTTCTAGATTGCCCTGCATTAAAGAACAACAACCATTATTAGTGATCAAAATATACGTGATTATCTATAAACAAGCATAGAGGAGTAAGGAAACAACATGAACATTGTAATTCCTTCGATCCAGAAAATGCTTTTTAACGAATTCACACAAAACAGCCACATTCGCCGAGTTGGTTTAAAGCATTCAATCTTACACCCCTAAGGACCCGAATTCCCCCTCCCCAATATTTGTTGTATCAAAAGTCCATCTCTTTCTATCTCCTATACCATGAAGCTCTAAAATTTTGGAGGTATTCAATAAAATTCCAAACAAAACACCCCACATTCAACCAAGCACAATCAAAGCAAGAAAAACCAAATCAGATCAACACCCAGATGAACAAATTCAAAAACAAAAGAAACCCAGATCGTAAAAATACAAAAAAAGGAACCTTCTTCTGTGAATCCATGGGGTGAGCAGCTCTGAAGTCGGCCCTTGTAGGAACTCTGATGACCTTCAATCCTGAAATGTCAAAGTCGTCCTCAACCTCAAACTGCAGATGGTGCTGGTTCTCCCGGCCTCGTTTTTGTTCCGGCTGATGAGAATCGGACGGTTGGGCGCTTAAATCGGAGACGTGGGCACCATTGTGATCATTGCCCAGTTTATTAATTTTATTGTTGTCGGTGTAGTTATGATTATTATTTGGATTAGAAGTATTAATAATAGTTGCGGAAGTGGAAGTGGAAGAAGAAGAAGACGAGCGACGTTGAAACCAGCGACGGACACCCTCCACCAGAGTAGCTCCACTCCCCATATACTCTGCCCGCTCTCTCTCTGTCTCTCTCTCCTCCTCTCAGCCACACAATTGCAGCATTGCCCGCTCTCTCTCTCTCTCTCCTCTCACGCACTATTTTCTCGCTCTTTTATCGGAGATTTTCTTTCGTGTCCGATGGTCCCCGTGCAGAGAGAGAGTTTTGATTAGGTGCACAGATGGGGAGGGATGGCAATGTCAACCGTGCCGTGCACTTTACCAAGTTCTGCATTTTGGAAGATGGGCTTTTGGTGTGCATTATACCATCAGCATAAAAATGCAATAATTACATGGAGCGGAAATCAAATTTCTAAATCAAATTTTATAAACAAAAAATGTAGATATTGATGATTAGATTATATTTAAGTATTTATGAACGTGTTTATTTTCTATTATGATTCATCATTTGATTTAAAATTTTGATCTCCCTAACATTATCTTAAAAAGGTTTTTTAGCCAAAATGATCACTGAGATTTGCATAACTCCCTGAGATTTGAAATTGATAGAATTGGTCCCCGAGATTGTCCACCATCAATCATTTTGGTTATTTTGTGAAAAATCTCCATTAAATAAGAATAAAATGACAAGAATACCCTCAATTTTTGTCAAATCATTTTGGCTTGTTGTTTATTGAACTAAGGGTATTTTTATCATTTTGATCCTTATTTAACATAATGTTTCTCGGAATGACCAAAATGATTGATGGTGAACAATTTCAATGACCACTTCTATTAATTTCAAATCTCATGGACTAAAGTAATGAGTTATGCAAATCTCATAGACCATTTTGTCTAAAAAACCTCTTAAAAATAAGAAGACCTCAAGTATGATATAATCTTACGGGGGAATTTTCGATATTATATGGGTGTTACATGCAGTGGTCTAAGGACTGGTTTGGTATTGTTGTGTTTTGAAAAAAAACTGCTTATGCTGTGCTGTGAGAATAAGCAGCTGTGAAATAAAGCAGCAAATGTTTGGTAAACTTTTTTGTAAAAGTGTTTTTTTTTTTTTAAATAACAGTATTATATTGTTTGCTAAACTTTTATATAAAACAGATGTGAAAAAAAACTGGTTTTTCAAAGCTTGGTTTTGCAGCTTCTTGTTTTTGGCTTTTTTTCACCCAAAACTGTGAAAAAAAAGCTGAAACTGAATGTTTACCAAACACAAAAACAGCTCCCAGCTTTTTTTTATACCAGCTTCAGAATCACTTCAGTACCAAACCAGGCCTAAGAATGGGCTAGCGGCTGCCTAGGCATTGGACGTTAGTTTTCAAAAGGATTTTGGACAAAACGGTCATTAAAACCAGAGAGAGACTAGACGGTTTAGGCAGTAAGCAGTCTAGACGGCACTAGGCGGTTCCAAATTTAAGTTAACTAATTAAATTAAGGTGGAAAATATGTAACCTACCTAAAGGAAACCTAGAAGCTCACGCGGAACATCTAATCTTGTCGCTCTGTGTCTGTGCAAATCCAGAAGCTGCATCTTGTCTCCTCGATCCTACAAACCCAGACTTGATGAGTTGATCCTACAAGCTCCGCAACTCTGCCTCTGCGTCGTATCTCTTTCGCCATGTTTACAATTTGATTCTTTGTAAATATTATGTGATTTAAACACTACACACATACCTCTGAACTCATTCTTTATCTGGAGGAAATCACGATGGATGAGATGAGAGTCGAGGCCCACTGACTATTGTCAAATTATTCTTTTCCTTTGTAAATCATGCAAAGCTTTTGATTGTTAATTTGCTCACTGAATTAGAATCAGGAACCGTTGTTACATTTTTAATTTGTTAATTTGCTTATTGAGCCTTTTGGTTTTTACTGTATTATATCTTTATTTCATTTCTAATACAAGTGTAGTTTTTTTTTTTTCCTAAATGTTAACAGTCAATTATTTATATGAAATAATAATAAATTAACTTAATCAGCATAGGTGTTAGCCTCCAGCCTACCGTCCAACTAGTGCCAAACATCTTTTAGAGCAATGGTTAAGTGTGTGTACTCTTTTGGAGCTGTTTGATAATCATTTCATCATTAGTTTTTAGTTTTAGTCTTCAGGTTTCAGTTGTTTAAAAACTAAAATATTGTTTGGTAACTACTTCTAGTTTTTAAAAAAATGAAAATTACTTTATTAAGCGTTCAAAATTTAGCCTTAAATTTTCAATTTTCCTTTTATGACAGTGAGGCATTGCTTCCATCACTAATCAGAAGAACACCAAATTCTCCTATGGGTGCTTCAATAACATTATAGTCATAAAAAGTTGGTACGAAAAAAACTTCTATGCAAAGTTCAACATGGTGAATTGAGGTAGAGTAGACCGATCGTCCAATCACTTGGCCGGCTAGTGAAAGAAAAAGCTTGCATCTAAAGCTTATTCAACAGATAAATAAGTTACCTAGAGCATCTTATTACATAACATTAAGTTATGCTACGAGAACCCTTTCAAAAGTGGGAGGGACTTTCCATGTACTTTATGTCACCTTATGTTGTTTACACAATATTTTATAAAGTTTGAATAAGAATTAATGTCAAACTATGGGGTGACAAAAAGTTTATTAAAAGTCTCACTTTAGGAGAGAGTCTCCTTAGTATTTCTCTATGATTAAAATGATAATTGATTTCCATATGCAAGTAAGTTTCTAACATACTCGATCAATTTACAAAAGCTTTTTAGCTAAAATTGTTTATGAGATTGACATAATTTCTTATATTGGCCCCTGATATTTGAAATCGATAAAAGTGGTCCATAAGTTTGTCCACCATTAATCATTTTGATAATTCTGTAAAAAATCTCTATTAAATAGGGATACGATGACAAAAGTACCCTCAATTTCTGTCAAATCATTTTAGCCCCATTGTTTATTAAATTGATGATTTTTTTTCATTTTAGTCCTTATTTAACAAAAATTTTCAAGGAATGACCAAAATGATTTATGGTAGACAAACTCAATGACTTCTTCTATTGATTTTAAATCTTTGAAACCAAAGTAAGAAATTATGTCAATTTCAAGTTCCATTTTGGCTAAAAAGTTATTTACAAAACACAAGGTGAGGTGAGGTAGGAGTAAGGATCCTCGCCGGATCTTATTTGTGAGAATTTTAGGAATCCTCCTATCATATCTATTCATCATACATTATGTAACCAATTTTCGTTAGGTATTTGTTTATATTCAATTTTAAATAAAAAATTTATAATAATTTATGATCGCACGATATATAATGAATAGATGTGATTTGAGTATTTATGAGATCATCAGCAAAGAGGATCCGGCGAGATTTATCACGCAGGTAGGAACGCAGTATAAGATCACAAAGAGTCCTTATACAGAAATAAGTTTGAAAGATAAGGACTGAACTGCAAAAGTAATGACTTATCTATAAGATATTTTATGACTAAAAGAAGAAAATAAATAATGTAAAAAGACGGAAAAGGTCCGCATCACAAACCTAAAGCAAAGAATACACAACTCAATCCTAAGCCGTCCGATCAGCCATCATCTTTCTGGCTCCCCACGCTCCCGATCCCATCAGCCATCCATCATCTTCTTTCTACTCTCTCTCTCTCTGCCCCTCTGTCCAAAATTTCACTTATCCTCTCTCTCTCCCTCCTTCCGAAGACCCAAGTCCCAATTCCCAAGTCCAACGTACACCAAAATCCATGGACCCACCACCACCTCCATATCCAACTCCGCATCTTTACCCACCGCTAATCACCGCCGTCTCCGCCGCCCCAACCATTACTCCCGCCACCGTCGAAGCTCAAAATAACATTATCACCACTACCCATGTAGCTGCCAACCCCACTCCTGCTCCGAACCCTGCTCCCAATCACCCACCTTACGCCGAGGTAAATTACTAAACGCACCCCATCCCCACCTCCCACCTCCCACTCGAGCTAAAGCTCCGAGCTTTTTTCTGATCTGGTTTTTTTGTTTTGGGTGCAGATGATATACGGAGCGATAACGGCGTTAAGGGAGAAGGACGGGTCGAGCAAGAGGGCTATAGAGAAGTACATAGAGCGATTCTACTCGGGGCTTCCGGCGACTCATCCGTCCTTGTTGACTCACCACCTCAAGCGCTTGAAGAACAGTGGTCACCTCGTTATGGTCAAAAAGTCGTACAAGCTTCCTGGATCTGAGGGTTCCGTTCCCCCTCCCCCTCCTCCTCCTACTTCAGCTGCTGATGCTGCCTCCACGGCGGCGATTCCCTCTCCTGGGCCTGCAAGGGGCCGCGGCCGCCCTCCCAAAAACAACCCTATTTCTGACCATCCCATTTCCCAACAACCCATTAGCCAGCAATTCATTCCCTTTCCCCAGCAGCAGCAGCAGCCCTTTCCAATTCTCCAACTGCCCACTTTACAGCAACCCATTCCGATTCTCGAGCAGCCCATTTCCCACCACCAACAACCCATTCCCATTCCCCAGCAGCCCAATTCCCAGCCCGTCCCAGATGAGCCCAATTCCCAGCCCATGCTAGTCGCTCTCGGACTCGCCGACGAGCCAGGGTCGGAGAAGAGGCGCCCAGGTCGGCCGCGTAAGGTGGTTGTGGGTGCTGGAGTTGGACAAGCTGTGGGCAGCCCGGTGTCTGGTAAGAGGGGCCGGGGTCGTCCGCTGGGAACCAGGTTGCCCAAGAAGAAGGCTGGGCGTCCTCCCAAGCCAAAGTCCGTGTCGGCTGTCGGAGGCCCCAACGGAATTGTGAAGAGGGGCCGCGGGAGGCCTTCGAAAGCTGAGCCGAAGAGCGTCTTCTTTCCGTATGCCACCAATGTGCCTATCATTGGTGCATTTGAGCAGAGCAGTGTTCCCAATGTGGTGGCGCCACAGCGACCGCAACCAGGGGCCAAGCGCAGAGGCCGACCCTCAAAGAAGAAGGAAGAGGCTGCTTCTGCTGCTACCGTGCGTGTTGGTGGTATGGTGCCCGGTAAGCGCGGCCGGCCGCCTGGGCTGCCTGGAATAAAGCGGCCCTCAAAAAAGAGCGGAAGGCCCGTGGGCAGGCCCAGGAAGGTAATACTCTTGTTATCTGCATCTCTCTAGTAAACAACCTTGTGAA